TGCGGCTTTGTTTGCCGCATTTTTTATCTGGTTTAATTATGAACAACAATGATCTCTATGAAATGCGTTGTACATATGTATGATGGAGATGGAGATATTTTATAATCAAGATAGGACATTTTTGGATTTCAGTGTCGCATTCGATAAGTTAAATACAGAAAAATTCCAAACTCCCCGAGTTTAATTATATAACTTTTCCGTTTTAAGGTTTTGTATCTATATGTATTTTCTTTGTTACATTTTGATGCTATTTTAATCGACCAAATGTATTTCTCGTTGCGATTTTAATTTTATAATCAAATATTATTTTACATCGAAAATAATCTAATCTAAGATCGAAATGATGTACTTTTTAATTTAAATATTGTTTTTATATATTACAAATGTTTAGTATTTATGTTAGATTCTGTTCAACTTCTGCTTTTCTGTTTCAATTATTTGTTTTGAATCTAATAAGTTTATCGAATTTAAAATATTTTTGTTAATTTTTGAATAAAATTAAATTTCTCGCATAAATAAAAATTTTAAAATTTATCAAGTTTTTCTCAATGAATATAGACATTTGTTACTTGATGAATTGCATAGAAAGTTATATTAAATGTAAAAGATTAATTATGTTGGTCTTTTTGTTTCTATAGTTTTTCCTGTCACAGAAAGGGGAGAAGAATGTGTTGAGAGAGCACCTGCTTGGGTGCCAGATAATGATGCGCCGAGATGTATGGCTTGCCAGGCGGGATTTACGGTTGTGCGACGAAGACATCATTGCCGAAACTGTGGTAAAGTGTTCTGTGGTCGTTGCAGTAACAACAACGTTCCACTGCCTCATTTTGGGCATATAAAGCCCGTGAGGGTGTGCAACAGGTGTTTTCTGTACCAAGTAACGCCTTTTACAGTGTCCCAAGTTACATCCACTAGATGAACTTTTCTGAATGGCTCATAAATCAATTATTTTTCGATTATTGAATTCCTTATGCGATACATCTCGTTTTCAATATAAGATATTTATGCAAATCTAAAATAAATATTTTTGTAACAGGAACAATATCTATATACTATATCTTATATTATATATATCTATATTGTTTTTTTTAAATATAACTATGTAATATATTCAATCAGTGTTGAAAAGTTCAATTTAATAAATTAATCGCTGCTTTATTAATAAAAATGTTATTCATTTAGGAAATTGAAGTAAATTTTTTGAAACATTTGAATAGTTAATTCTTCTTCCTTTAATACTACTGTAATTAGAAAATATCGAAATTGACTCACTTAAACTGCATTTCGAAAATATCGAAGAAATATTTTTTTTTTTAGATTAGTTGGACTGTTTTTAATCTCTGTCAAAAATTTAACATCATTATTTTTCTTAGTCTACAAATAAATGCTTGTTTTGTGATTGAAAAAAAGTATTTTCATCGATTTTTAACATGTTGAATTTTGTTGAATAAAGAATTTGCATAAAATTTTGTCTTCGGAACGAAATTTTATATACAGAAAAAAAACAGTGGACATGTTTCGATGATGAATGCAATGCAATCAAGAACAAGGATTTTCAAATGGTATAAAATGTTCAAAGAAGGCAGAGAACATGTCGAAAACGACAATCGCTTCGAAAAACTTTCCACTTCAACAGATGAGCAACACATCAAAGAAATCATAGATTCGAGATATGATTAAACAGTTTATGATGATTAAACCATGTTTCGAATTGTCAATTACTGAACACTAAATTTTTTTATGATAAAACAAACTTATTTATAAACTAAGAAAGATAATGACGTGAAATTTTAGGCAGAGATTAGAAACGGTCCAAAAATCTAAAGAAAAAAATATTTCTTTGATTTAAAAATGCACCGTTTAAATAAACCAATCCTGATACCTTTTAATCACAATAATATATCGAAAAATCTGCTGGTACTTTGGTTTATTTAATTTTTAAAAATTTATAATTTGTAAAAACTGTATAGAGAAATATGCATTTGTACAATAACGAATATAGAAATTAGGGAAAAATCTGTCACTACTTTTGTGTGTTATTTGTACACTCACATGCACCTTTAATCAATAAAATTAGATATATAGATGCTAATTGCTCATATTTTTTCACAATATGATTAAATATTTCTCAAAAAGATATTAATTCAATTTGTAACAGATGCAGAAATCTAATTTCATTTGGATAAATGATAGTAAAGTAATGATGTAAGTTTTTTTGTATATTATTAAAATTTATTTAAAAAAGTTATATCTTTGATAAGGTATATTAATATATGTTTAAGATAAGTAACTCTATAGGATATAATTTTCAAGAGCTTCTACACATTACTATTATTTTTCAAATTATTGTTATTAATATTTTAGTTTTATTTTTATTTTTAATAAATTTGATTCTTAAGAAGATTTGTTGTTCAAATTATGATAATAATTTTTAATTTCTTAAGTTATAATTATGTAGAAGTTTGTTACATACTGATAATTTCTTTCGGAAATGATGAAATCTCTTCTGAGTTTTGCATTTTACAATGAAAAAGATAACTAATCAATATATTAAAACTAATCAATATATTAAATAATTAATTAAGTTATTAATATGTTTATAGCAATTACAAGTGTAAATAATATTGGTACATAGTCATTTATATAAAAAAGAGACATACAATTATGTATTATTTCATACAATTATTTAGAATTATATTAAAAAAAGAACTTATAATATTAAAATTAAATATTATTATTTGCAAAAAGATTTCAGGTCAATACATAAATGATGAGCATTGTTGCTCATTCTTGTTACCTTATGAAAATTCTTCTCTTTAAAATCTAGATCTTTCGCGTTATAGTAACTGGAAGGATGTGTATTCAACACGCATATTTCTGATAAGTTTAGATTGACAATCGATAGTTTGTTTTCTATAGAAAGCAAGCTTTCTTGTGGAAATTTAAATTTTACTCGTCATTCTCGAAGCGGCGAATCGTACAGAGTCACCAGGTAAAGTTGCTAAAATTAAGATATCTCCATCCCTTTCAATTATATAATGATTTCATTTCAGGATCCTGTGGGAATGTCTTAGGACGTATTTAAAATCTATATTTTTATTTTATTCCTGCGTTTATAAAAAAATATCTAATAAAAATCAACGAGTGATCTTACATTATCTCTAACAACCGTATTTTATCTAACAAAAATGATATATAAGATGCAGCTTTCTATTATTTATTTTTAGTAATTATTTAGTATAATAATATTTTATTTATTTTCTTATTTATTTATATGAAAGATCTTGACATTATTGACAAAGAAATAATTTAAATTAATCGATTGATTTCGATATTAGAAAGACAAAAGATTATATAAAAGGAATAACTTACCAAAAATATATTTGGAATTAATAGATTTTAATATCTCTTTTTCCATCTTATCAATCTTTAATTTACTTTTTAACTTCATAATTTTTACATATTTTATAAGAGACTTTGAAATACATTATCTCAGATATACGAATTTTAATTGAAGATCGAACTTTAGCTGAGATTCAATCTCTACTTAGAGTGATAGATTAGAATTTTTAATAAATTTTTTGTAAATTTACAACGTATTTATCAGCATTGTTAATAACTTGATTATTAATTTAATAATGTGACATTATAATTCCAGTTTTAGCATAAAACTGTTTCTTAAAACACAGTCTAATAACAATTGGTTTATAGTTAAAAAATAGAATGTACATATATTCACAAAAAGTATTATTAGATCTAAGGTCTCACTCGATAACCGAAAATGTCAATATTTATGTATTTCTGTAATGTATTCTGTACTGGATTTATATCGGTTGAGATATAAGTAATTTTAGCAATGGTTACTTTGTACATCTATGTGGTGTATATATAGTGTGTATATGTATGGAATATGTATATACATTTAAATGAATAAAAACAAAGAAGAGTGAAATGAAAATTTCGCGCTCAATAGTCAGCTCACATTGTAGGTTATTACTGCGATAAAATTTTTAAGCATGTACTGTCTACTGAAGTGTTTTGGAAAATATACACAGGCTCGTTAACACACAGCACTAGCTGCTGTGCCAAATTTATGATAATAAGTTTTCTCTTTTTTATATCTCGCATGAATTTGATTCTTATTTTGAAAAGCTCATACAAGACACTTCCGATTGCCAGCGATGCCCAGAAAGACATTGAAAAATTCCATCGAAAAATAGATCTACCTTTTGATTGAACTGCATTTTCTGTCTTAGTACAATCACATTAGCATTTAAATGTAAGCAAAAAAAGTAAGCAGCAATCTAACGTGATTGTACTATCTGTTGTCATTACTATTGATTATTATAAAATACCGTATTGCGTTAAAAATATTTAGAATTTGTGAGCTGCTTTCAAGATAGACTACAATGTAATTGTGTATATCATTATCGATAAAAAGACTGGTTGAATATACAGATATTTCGCTCATCAATGTTTCATAAATTTGTTATAATTGATATAAATTTTCAATTAATATATATTATTAGCAATTATATTTCAAGATATATTTTATTATTGGGAAATATCAATTTTTACATGCGAAAAAAATATTACAATCAATTTCACCAGTAGCCCTTCTTAAATTCTTATGAAAATATTAATTGTTAGTATTAATATTTAAAATTTGATTGAAATAAAATAATAAAAATAATATAATAATAAAAACATAATAAATAATGATATTTTAAAAAAGTTTAATTTCGAAAATTCAATTCAATTTCACTTTAAAAAAATAGAAAAAACATCCCTCGCACAATATAAAAATAAGTCACAATTGTTTATATAAATGATTATATAAATTGAAGTAATTAATTTGGTGCAATTATTATTACATCAGGCAAGGACGTTAATTGAAAGCGATATATATCAATTAAGCTGAAATTTAAATGAAATTATAATCGAATTTCATATGGACATAGTATATATTCATACAATATTCTTTGAAATAACGAACAGCGAATATATTATTCGGCGCAATTAGATTTGGAAGTTGTTGTATATATAATCACGCGTATATAAACTATAGATACGGCTTTTTATTATTTAAAGAAAAGAATATTGTACATATGATACTTACGGAGCGACGAGAATGATTGTAAGTTGTGAATAATTAGTAAGAAAGAAACAAAAAAAAATTTATTTCTATAAGAAGCACATCGAGTAGAAACTATATGTTTAGATAATGAATGCTTAGATGAAAAATTATTTTTTACGCGTAATCGATGCTTGTTAAAATATCGCGCTTTCAATTTCGGATATGACAAAAAACTTCTAATTAAGAAATCTAACGAAAAAGCGTGAAATTTAAACGTGAAAGATCATTGTTAAATATCCTATTTCTCTTGTATATGTGTGAATCATTTTGATAATCAGATTTTTCGTGTGCCTAAATTGTTACTTTTTGAGAATATATCTGATAAAAATTTAATAAATTCAATTAGAAATTACTGCAAATTAATGATACTTTATTAACAATACTTTGTTAACAATACTTTTTATTAACAATACTTTTGTCTGTTAAATTGTGTGTTTTATCAATTGATAGAGCTTTGTAGTAAAATTTAATAGTGAAATATTATTTTAGTCAATTGAAAATGTGATTCACTGTATCGATTAAATGTTCAATGAGATATATACAAGTTTTTTTATACATAGAATGGAAGAAAAGAACAGAACTTTTTTGTTAAAGAAAAAAACTCTTGATAAATTTTGATTTCTCGATAAATCTTTGTTTTTCTCGGTGCATTTTGTACAAAGCTTGTTCTTTACCCATGGGAAGTTTATTTTTAAAATTTTATAATTTTTCCTTTAGAACAAGATTTATTATAATTTATTATATTTCTTATTTCAAAATATGAAATTATTATATAAAGTCATTATAGTGATTTTCTATCTTTTGAGGAAAATTCCAATCATAGTGTCATAATCATCTATAAGAATCAATAATCGCAAAATAGCTTATAAATATGAATTAAACAAAAAGATTGGAAGTATGTA